GTGTTTTATGTAATTCTTTATAACTTTGTATAATGCCACTAAAAATTAAATGTGGTTGGTTCTTTTTCTATATATTGCTATTTAACACAACCCTCTTTGAGACATTTTCTTACGAGTGCTTTCCGCATCTTCCTCAGGTCCAGTGACAACTCGCAGAAGAAGAGACCTGGAATTTGTTCAGTTCTATGCCAGTTTAGAAGAGGGTTAGTCTGTTTGTATTGGTGTAAAACAGCATCAAGATAGTGTTGCTCATGTAATCAATCAGCTGTCACTCACTTCCCTCTGTCTCTGTTAGATCTTGAAATCCCAGAGGTGCTGACATTAACAGTAACTGGAGTTTCTTTGCATGTGAGTTGGACGACAGTGACGGGTGCCACCGAGTACACACTTATGATTGAGGAGGAGCAGATAAAGGGAAAAGCCAGCAAGCCGGCGAGAGTTCGAAGAGTGGAAGGTGACTCTTACACAGAGACTGATCTCAAACCCCAGACCACCTACTGCGTCAGGGTGGCAGCCAAAAATGCCATCAACCAAAGCAGCTACTCCCAGTCCAAGTGCAGAAACACTGATGCTCTAGTGGGCTCTTAGTGACACACACACACATGCACGCATACACACAAATTCACTTAAATAGACACTGGAATAAACAGAAATACTATCATATGCCACTTTGTAGCATCCATAACACAACTCATGCTGGTTTGATCGTACACATACTTTAGGAAGATAATTGTGAAAAGGAAGTAATCACACATACAAAGTCATGATAAAATTATGTTTCTTAAATGTCACAAAGAGATGATGATCAAACCTAACAACCACTTATAGATTTAAATGCTTCTGAATTTTCTGTGGGAGTAGTTTGTATATTTGCATAAATGTAGCTCTGCTGAAATTATACAGTATTTATCAAAAACATGCTTATATTTTTGGGGTAGGTTATTCGATTCTCTGCATGATTGATGAAAAATGTAGTGTAAACAAATAAAATGGTAATTTATAAAGCTATATTTGTAAAGCCATGCAGTATCTGATCTTTTTGATGTACTATGTGACTTCTCAGATTGTAAACACGCCGACAGATGCTTTTGAACAATCCCAGAAATTAAAGAATAAAAAAAAAGGTTGAAAACACACAAAACAAATCTAATCTGGAGTTTCATTTTTTCCAACTTGGAAAGCACACCATCTTTTAACTCTGAAGCTTTACATATCAGGGCCTGTGCAAGTCTGAAGATTATTTTAGAACAACTTCAGATAAACAACAGAAGACATTACATTATGTCACTATTTATTCAAAAAATGCTAATCCAAATTACAGAAGTAATCTGTATTTTCTCATACTCAAAATCAGAGGTCTTCACTGGGATTTATGCACTGACAGGCAGATACATGGATAGCTTTAACACTTAGAACAACCAGGAGGGTCATTTTGACCTTAAGTAGAATTTGATTTGGGCCCCCCGCCAGCACCAGTCCCGCCCACCTCAGCACCACTAGTATTATCTATAGTTTGTTCATGCTTTATCATTTGTGCGTTAAACATCAAACACAACTATTATCATAACTTACTAGTGTGCTGGAAGGAAATCAAGACAATGTATAATTCCTGTTCATGTGCCTCACAGCTGTTCCGTATTTCCCAAATGTGGTAAAGCGCAGTGATATACTGTGAAAGGAAATGATGCAACTGAAGCCTGGCAGCATCTGGTATATACAGTGGGGCAAAAAAGTATTTAGTCAGCTACCGATTGTGCAAGTTCCCCCACATAAAATGATGACAGAGGTCAGTAATTTGCACCAGAGGTACACTTCAACTGTGAGAGACAGAATGTGAAAAAAAAAATCCATGAATCCACATGGTAGGATTTGTAAAGAATTTATTCATAAATCAGGGTGGAAAATAAGTATTTGGTCAATAACAAAAATACAACTCAATACTTTGTAACATAACCTTTGTTGGCAATAACAGAGGTCAAACGTTTACTATAGGTCTTTACCAGGTTTGCACACACAGTAGCTGGTATTTTGGCCCATTCCTCCATGCAGATCTTCTCGAGAGCAGTGATGTTTTGGGGCTGTCGCCGAGCAACACGGACTTTCAACTCCCGCCACAGATTTTCTATGGGGTTGAGGTCTGGAGACTGGCTAGGCCACTCCAGGACTTTCAAATGCTTCTTACGGAGCCACTCCTTTGTTGCCCGGGCGGTGTGTTTTGGATCATTGTCATGTTGGAAGACCCAGCCTCGTTTCATCTTCAAAGTTGTCACTGATGGAAGGAGGTTTTGGCTCAAAATCTCACGATACATGGCCCCATTCATTCTGTCCTTAACACGGATCAGTCGTCCTGTCCCCTTGGCAGAAAAACAGCCCCATAGCATGATGTTTCCACCCCCATGCTTCACAGTAGGTATGGTGTTCTTGGGATGCAACTCAGTATTCTTCTTCCTCCAAACACGACGAGTTGAGTTTATACCAAAAAGTTCTACTTTGGTTTCATCTGACCACATGACATTCTCCCAATCCTCTGCTGTATCATCCATGTGCTCTCTGGCAAACTTCAGACGGGCCTGGACATGCACTGGCTTCAGCAGCGGAACACGTCTGGCACTGCGGGATTTGATTCCCTGCCGTTGTAGTGTGTTACTGATGGTGACCTTTGTTACTTTGGTCCCAGCTCTCTGCAGGTCATTCACCGGGTCCCCCCGTGTGGTTCTGGGATCTTTGCTCACCGTTCTCATGATCATTTTGACCCCACGGGATGAGATCTTGCGTGGAGCCCCAGATCGAGGGAGATTATCAGTGGTCTTGTATGTCTTCCATTTTCTGATGATTGCTCCCACAGTTGATTTTTTCACACCAAGCTGCTTGCCTATTGTAGATTCACTCTTCCCAGTCTGGTGCAGGTCTACAATACTTTTCCTGGTGTCCTTCGAAAGCTCTTTGGTCTTGGCCATGGCGGAGTTTGGAGTCTGTTTGAGGCTGTGGACAGGTGTCTTTTATACAGATGATGAGTTCAAACAGGTGCCATTCATACAGGTAACGAGTGGGGGACAGAAAAGCTTCTTACAGAAGACGTTACAGGTCTGTGAGAGCCAGAGATTTTCCTTGTTTGAGGTGACCAAATACTTATTTTCCACCCTGATTTACAAATAAATTCTTTACAAATCCTACCATGTGGATTCATGGATTTTTCTTTCACATTCTGTCTCTCACAGTTGAAGTGTACCTCTGGTGCAAATTACTGACCTCTGTCATCATTTTAAGTGGGGGAACTTGCACAATCGGTGGCTGACTAAATACTTTTTTGCCCCACTGTATGAAGCTTTGGTCATTTGGATAAACTGGCCTAGAGGGACAGACCACTGTGTATTATGTAAAGCCCCACAGCACAATGAGCACATAATAAACCTCACAAGTCTATTTTTGGGTTTCAAAACTTTCAAAATGAAATGTTCTGAATGCTGTGATAAAACAGTTTCTGTTTAAATAAATTATTTCAGTGTAAAACTGGGACTGTGTGACACCTCAGTTGTCTGAGGTGATCCTGACGGATCAGAACTAACTGATAATTAAGGACAGTCAAGTTTTATCATATGAACAACAGTATGTTACCTGAAAGTATTCAAACACTGTATTACGAATTCTTGTCTCTGTGGGAAAGTTGCATTCACTATATGTGTTTAGGGGTTTTCGTGGCTGCAGTGAGTGATGCTGCAAGCAGTGTTTTAAGAGAGAGATAGAAATAAAATGGTCTTCTTGTTTGGATTTTGCAAGTCCACAAGACCTCAAGTCAGTAAGAGAAAAGCACCCTCTGCAGTACAGCCCATGCAGCAGTCCATTGTCCATAGCACAATCCATTTTCACACAGGAATACACCATAACACAAATATTTTTTATACACATGCTGTATGTCTCTTACTGGATATTTAAGTATCGTTTTGTTTTTAATGGGCATATGGAAGCATGGTTATTTTCATATTTCCATAAAATGTTAACCTCTCTGATAGTTTTTTTTTATTTTTTATTTTTACATTGAATACTGAAAATTCTTGATAATACATCTATCTCTGCCTGGCATGCCCCCCCTATAATATTGGTATATGTTTAACACACACAAAATATACATTTCTCAAACTGGTTTGTGTGACATTTCAAGCGCTCTTTGGGGCCCCCTTCTGGTGTTGGAATCCCATTTGCAATTCATTTGCTCGGATTAATAAGGTGCTCCACACTCTTCTTCACTCTGCAACCCATTTGGTTCTCCACCCGTTCCACCACACACTGCTCTGCTTAGCTATGGCTCAATGCGACCCTGCAGTACTTTTTAACCTTTTATCGTTATATATTTAACTGGAGCTTTGCAAAAGGTTGTCAACAGCCAAAGAAGAGCTTTGAATTTCCTTTGAGAAGCCTGGAGAACTGTTAATGACAACAGCTTATAGAAATCACAAAACAAGACTGCCTAAGAGAGTTCAGGCAGAAAAAAAGTGGTCATATCCATCCAAATATTGACTTCTGGCTTGTTAGACTTGTACAAACTCAATTTATGCCTTAGACTGTATTAGCATGTATGTGTGTATGTTTTTTCTATTTTCCATAGCAAAATGTAAAGAAATGCAGGTTGGCTCAAGGCTTTTGCACAATACGGGATATATTTGTGGTGGAAAATGGACATTTGTATTACTACATAATTGCTTTGCTTATATTATGTGGAGTAGAAGCAAAAATATTTAAAAATAAGTCATATATTTTACTTTCAAAGACATGCTCAAGCCTGCTGAAGCCTCGATTAAGCTTTAAGGGATTTTTCCAAAGCCAACAATTATTAATTTAATATAAAAAAAAATAAATTTTGACCAGTTGGATGCACTTCCACAACTCTACCACTTTTGAAGCCATGTGTTGCCGATATATTTTAAATAATGTAAGAACAGAACCATCTTTGCTCACCCTCCCCTCCCCCCAAAAACGCTCCAGACTCGATAACAACAGCGCCCTCTGGTGGCCGGCGGGCGGGGTTACAGGACTCTAAGACGAGACAAAGATGGATCTGACGTTCAGTCCGCCGCTTCACAAGCAGAGACATCAATTTGTCGTCGATTTTGTCAAGAGGAACAAACCTAAAAAGGTCGCTAATGTCTTCGTGAAAAATACATTTTTTAAAACTTTAGCTTAAAAGCAAGAATTTCGTTTAGCGACGTTTGACTACACCAAAGCTAATTATGTTAGCAAACATTTTCACCAAACCAATTAAGTTAGCTACTATAGTGCATAATAAACTACGTTGCCTTGGCTTTTCTTAACGCTTTGGGTTCACTGTATTTACAATTTCTTATTAAATTTCTTTAACCGAGAGTCTGCGCTGTGCCTTTGTCCAGGTGGTGGACTTGGGCTGCGGTGAGTGTACCCTCCTCAAAATGCTCAAGTTTCACCACGAAATTGAACTTCTGGTTGGAGTGGACGTGAACGGTGCCAAAGTCAAGAAAAGGATGTATGTATGTATGTATGTCTGTTCACGCAAATGGTGAGAGTTAAGATTAGACTGCGGGGTTAAAGTAATTTAAAGTGTATTCTTTGGCGAATCTTGTGCATCAGTGCACCAACATATATTCCTCTTAACATGTTAACGGAGACAACAGGTCTGTCTAGGCTATGTCGAGATTTTTCATTTCGTTTTATAAAATAATCCCGTCCACACTTAAACTCAAAAATGAAGGAAAACGCTGCTATGAACATGCCAAAGCAACAGGTGGCGATATATTCCTAACAGTGTAGAAATGTTGGCCAATCAGAAGTCTAGAAGCCTCGGTGGGAAATAGTAAACAAGGATGGGGCATAGAAGCAGAACCGAGTCGTATGTGTGGAGGGACAGTAACTGTGTGTATATGTAAGCATTTAACCACTGCAGAGAGTACAATTAACAGTATTATAGAAATTCATTTCACCGAAACGTCTGTGAAGGTTCTCAGTCATCCAGGTCATCGTAGTCAAAGGAGCTTGCGAAGAAAAGCGTCTGGACTTCTTTAAGTTGCTTGAAGACGTTTCACCTCTCATCCGAGAAGCTTCTTCAGTTCTAAGGTCAAATGGTGGAGAGTCCCAGATATAAACCTAGTGGGAGTAACCCCCCACAGAGGGACAAAAGGACCCCCTGATGATCCTCTAATCGCCTGAGCCAAGGTGTGAAACTGGGCGTGGGTCCCAATCAGCCAGAGTTTCGGGTGTGTTCATTGTGAAACCTGGCCCCACCTTAGACTCAGCAGTCCATCTGCATCTTAAGGATAAAGGACACTCTTTCGAGGATGCCAATGTTCACATTTTGGACAGAGAGGACAGATGGTTTGAAAGAGGAGTGAAAGCCATCTATGTCCACTGTGAGCGACCATCTTTGAACAGAGGCGGGGGTTTACGACACCAACTCTCTGCCATCTATAATCCAGTTTTGAGATCCCTTCCCAGACGTCTTAACGCCCACTCACATCCTGGGCCATCTGACCTCAGGAATTCGCATGATAAGGTGGGGCCAGGTTTCACTATGAACACACCCGAAACTCTGACTGATTGGGACCCACGCCCAGTTTCACACCTTGGCTCAGGCGATTAGAGGATCATCAGGGGGTCCTTTTGTCCCTCTGTGGGGGGTTATTCCCACTAGGTTTATATCTGGGACTCTCCACCATTTGACCTTAGAACTGAAGAAGCTTCTCGGATGAGAGGTGAAACGTCTTCAAGCAACTTAAAGAAGTCCAGACGCTTTTCTTTGCACGCTCCTTTGACTATTTCACCGAAACAATAACGTGGCGCACATTGTGACGTCAAAAAGGCGCACATCTTTGACGCTGCATTTTCTCCGTTTTTCTTGTCCACACATAAATGCAAAAACGGAGTTTTCAAAAATATCCACCCTGGCCGGAGTTTTTAAAAATCTCCATTTTCAGTGACCGAAAACGCTGTTTACGTGTGGACGCAAGGTGCAAACGCATAGAAAAATCTGCGTTTTCAAAAATACCCGGGTACGTGTGGACGTAGCCTAGACCTTTGCAAAAAAAATTGACTGAAACGACTTTATGAGATCACTAAAATATTTCTGTAGAGTAAATATCCTTAGAGTGGGTATTTAATTTGGTAAAATTTGTTATCACAAACTACAAGATGAAGGTTTGATCGACGTTTTTGAGGCTTTGGATGTCTTCAGGCCTGTGAGTCAGCTGCTTTCAAAGAGTCCTGTTGGTTATATCGTAACATTGCTGATTTTCACAAATCCCCACCTCTTGCATTTGTCTTAAATAAAATGATAAGTACATAGTGTAAAACTAACACTGAAACTAATAAAAACCAAACAAAAGCTAAACATTTTTAAATGATAAAAACTCGACTTGTACAGGGAGTGCAGAATTATTAGGCAAGTTGTATTTTTGAGGAATAATGTTATTATTGAACAACAACCATGTTCCCAATGAACCCAAAAAACTCATTAATATCAAAGCTGAATGTTTTTGGAAGTAGTTTTTAGTTTGTTTTTAGTTTTAGCTATTTTAGGGGGATATCTGTGTGCAGGTGACTATTACTGTGCACAATTATTAGGCAACTTAACAAAAAACAAATATATACCCATTTCAATTATTTATTTTTACCAGTGAAACCAATATAACATCTCCACATTCACAAATATACATTTCTGACATTCAAAAACAAAACAAAAACAAATCAGCGACCAATATAGCCACCTTTCTTTGCAAGGACACTCAAAAGCCTGCCATCCATGGATTCTGGTAGCTAGCATTCCACACACACACATACACTTTTTGCCAAGGTTCCAGCTGCAGTCACCAAGACATGTAAATGTATTTAGTAACCCTCTGGGGTTTATTGTATTTTGCACACCTCTGTTGCACACACATAAGAAATTCACTCACATGTGTTGTACCAGTGCACCTGCACATGTTATGTGATACGGGAAATCTCCAATTTTTTTAATTTTTTAATTTTTTTTGAGATTAAATAATATACCATTGTAAAGACGACACAAGAGTTCCAGAGGCTCTTCTGGGAGCCAGAGTCGACCAGAAAAGGTTTCCCCGAGCTTGAGTCCTCTATGAAGAGCAGCCTTTCCTTATCGGCAGCGGTCACAGCCGCTACAGAGCGCTGGCAGGCTTGTTTCCCTGGGCCTTAAAACTGCAAAGGCGGCACGGTGCTGTCACGCTGATGGTAAAAACACAGGCCTTTACCACAGTGCCGCTGTGCCACTTTATTTTTTAACAAAACTCTACGCTTTATGTATAAAGAACTGCCTATTCTACTACTTATTGAAGAAAAGAATCCACAAAAGATTAGTTTTACTTTCTTTTATTTGTTCCAGATTAATTCTAAATTATTTTTTAAAAAGCAATGAAATGCATCAGATGTCTCCCATGCTTTCTTTTCTGCTGTAATTTTTTTTTTTCCTTGAACATAAATTGGCCTATTGAAAATAAAATGTAGTAAGAAACACTACATTTTTTCAATAGGCCAATTTATGTTTAAGAAAACCCCAACAATCAAATGATCCCATCTGAGCAAGCACTGGGCGACGGTGGGAAGGAAAAACTCCTTTGTCTTAAAAAGAAGAAACCTTCGACAGAACCAGGCTCAGATGGTGCGGCTTCTGTCAAGACCGGTTGGGGGTTAGGTAGTTAAAAAACTACTCTAACGGTACAGCACTACAGCTTTTTGGTGGAAATGGGTGGAAGGATGGGTGTTACACCTCGTTTCATTGGAGGTCTTACAGGTGGTCGGGGTGTAGATTCAGCTTTTTTACAAATAGGTGGCAGAGGGACAGGACTAGGTCGTGGAATTATACCTAGTTGGGTGGGAATAGGTTGCTTTCCACTTCTGGATATAGGTGGAACACACATCCTACGAAAAGGTGGTAGGTTGTCGGTCGAGAAAGTTTCCTTTTTCGTTGATTGTGTGACTTGAGGAGCGGGTGTCAACTTTGTGTTTTTCGGTCTAATGGGTGGCAGTGGAGTCCGCTGTAACTGTTGTTCGTCAGATGCATCTTCCCTGCCTACGTAAATGTATTTATGTTCCTCAAAAAGGGCAATGTCTTTTTCAACTTGACTCATTGCCTCTTCAAGAAACATTTTGTAATTGTATTTTTTGTGCTGTGAAGGGGAGATAGTAAAAGGGAGGGATTGATATTCAAAGTTTAGCTCATTAAACCTCCTCTTTAGGCCCTGGAGAATGTTTTGTTTCTCCTGTTCGGCCAGTGGTTTAACTGTTTCCTGTTGTTTTGTTAACCAGGCATCATTGTCCTGCTTAGCCTTTTCTTTCTCTGCCTTTCTTCTACGCAGATTCAGGCGTGCAGCAGCAACCACAGCCTCCCAGACACTGTTCAGAGAGGTGTACTGTTTTCCCTCCTCGTAAATCTCACATTTGATGATGGACCACAGGTTCTCAATGGGGTTCAGATCAGGTGAACAAGGTGGCCATGTCATTAGTTTTTCTTCTTTTATACCCTTTCTTGCCAGCCACGCTGTGGAGTACTTGGACGCGTGTGATGGAGCATTGTCCTGCATGAAAATCATGTTTTTCTTGAAGGATGCAGACTTCTTCCTGTACCACTGCTTGAAGAAGGTGTCTTCCAGAAACTGGCAGTAGGACTGGGAGTTGAGCTTGACTCCATCCTCAACCCAAAAAGGCCCCACAAGCTCATCTTTGATGATACCAGCCCAAACCAGTACTCCACCTCCACCTTGCTGGCGTCGGACTGGAGCTCTCTGCCCTTTACCAATCCAGCCACGGGCCCATCCATCTGGCCCATCAAGACTCACTCTCATTTCATCAGTCCATAAAACCTTAGAAAAATTAGTCTTGAGATATTTGTTGGCCCAGTCTTGACGTTTCAGCTTGTGTGTCTTGTTCAGTGGTGGTCGTCTTTCAGCCTTTCTTACCTTGGCCATGTCTCTGAGTATTGCACACCTTGTGCTTTTGGCCACTCCAGTGATGTTGCAGCTCTGAAATATGGCCAAACTGGTGGCAAGTGGCATCTTGGCAGCTGCACGCTTGACTTTTCTCAGTTCATAGGCAGTTATTTTGCGCCTTGGTCTTTCCACACGCTTCTTGTGACCCTGTTGACTATTTTGAATGAAAAGCTTGATTGTTCGATGATCACGCTTCAGAAGCTTTGCAATTTTGAGACTGCTGCATCCCTCTGCAAGATATCTCACTATCTTTGACTTTTCTGAGCCTGTCAAGTCCTTCTTTTGACCCATTTTGCCAAAGGAAAGGACGTTGCCTAATAATTATGCACACCTGATATAGGGTGTTGATGTCATTAGACCACACCCCTTCTCATTACAGAGTTGCACATCACCTAATATGCTTAATTGGTAGTAGGCTTTCGAGCCTATACAGCTTGGAGTAAGACAACATGCATGAAGAGGATGATGTGGACAAAATACTCATTTGCCTAATAATTCTGCACTCCCTGTATAAGAAAATCTTCTCTATTCTGGCCCAGTCAACATTCAGCATTCGCTGACATTGTCTGCTTCCATCTGCTTCCTTTTGACTGAGTCCTCTGGGACCTCAGAACATTTAAAAAACACTAATTAAAGCAGAAATGGAAAACAGTGTGACATCAGTGAGAACAAATCAAGTGACGGTCATAAAGATTGGAATGATTAAAAAAACAACAAAAAAACCCCCGCCTCTGAGACGGGAGACCAGTTAAGTTTAACTTTAAAAACTGGTTGAAAGTTAGTAATTTAAAATGATCTTAAAGTCTTGCTCTGATTATTGTCTTCAATAAAGATGAAAGCACCAGGCAGCACAGTAATGTGCAGGCTCTGCTTGAATGTTTCTTTAGGCATGGATTAGCTCCTATATCAACTGACTACCTGGAGCCAAGTTACGATCAGCTGTGCGTTGAGCTGTACCAGGGCTCAGTGACCCAAAAAGACGCCCGCTTCAAAGGATTTGATCTGGTCACCAGTATAGAGCTGTAAGCTGCTGCATTCTCCTCACTCTTTTGCGTTCTGTTCATTATTACAAATGTTTTTTCTTTCTTTGCTTTTATGCTCGTCACTCTGTGCTGCTTCTTGTAACTGTGTTTTCTATCTGTCTGTGTGTGCAGCATTGAGCACCTCACTCCTGCTGACGTGGAGCTCTTCTCTGAGGTGGTATTTGGTTACATGACCCCAAAGATGGTCATCATCAGCACCCCAAACTCTGAGTTCAACATCTTCATGCCTGGAGTGTCCTGTTACAGGCACAGCGACCACAAATTTGAATGGACCAGAGCAGAGTTTAGATCCTGGTACATTAACTTTTTTTTAGTCATGCAAATAAATTCATCCTGAAACACTGTAGGAACCTATCCCCTACTGAGCATACAACACAAATTTAAACTGCATCCCTTCTCAGGGCTATGAAGGTGTGTTTGGACTACGGCTATGAGGTGGAGTTCACTGGTGTTGGAAAAGCCCCACAGGGCCAACAGGAGGCAGTTGGGTTCTGTACCCAGATCGGTGTGTTTTACCAGCTCGGGGGGAGAGATTGCTGCAAGACGTTGCTCGTCAACGATGCAGAGGATTTGTTTCCATATACATTGGTAAGTATATTTCAATATTAGTACAAATGGAAAAAGCTAATTATTTCTGTAGTACAAACAAAAAGCATTAGTGATAGTGCTGTGGTATTTGTGTTTTCACTAGCATTTCCTGAGCTGCTACTATTGGAATTATGCACTATTAATATTATTAGCTGCTGCAGCTGGTCTTTTTGATTTATGTGATCATCGATTCATACTGCCATCTGGTAAACAGGAAACAGCTGTAACCCATGTCTTCAGTCCTGTCAAGTCTTTTAAGCCTTGTCTCCCATTGTCCTCTAACTTATTTGTCTACTGAAACATCCTCTGTGTTTTCTGGGTCATGCCAGAAGGGAGGGATGGATGGATGGATAGATACATAGATCTTTTTTTTAATTTGCATTTTTGATGAAAATGTACATGTGAAAATATTTGATGAATGCACATTAGTTACTTCCTCATCAGTTTTTATTAATTAGTCATTCCAGTGATTTGAATACACCTAGCAAACCAGAGGTAAAAGCAATATTTGATGATGCAGTAGATTGCTTTTAAACTGGTATGAAATGACAGTATTTACCGCCCTCTGCTGGTGGCTGCTTAAAATTGCAAACAGCTGGACATACTTGTAACACCAGCGTGATTAATAGTGATTAAGCAAAAATTACATTTCTATACCTCTCTAATAATAACTTTGTGGTATTAATCAACAGCATTAGAGCTTTTATCCTGAATATATGCTTCCCCAGGTTTCTGTTTCATACAGGTTTCTGTGATGCTGCCTGCTTCCTTTGACTTTTGACCTGTGCTTTTTCCTCTGCTCTGTCAGCTTTACAGAGTAAACTACCCCAGCCTGTGCGACAACAACATCTTGCGCAGGGTTCTGGTGAGTGAAGTGCTGTACGGGGCAGAAAAACTAAAGAATAGATGGATGGAGGAACAGGCCGACGGGATATGTGATGCAGTTGCACTGTGTCAAACTGAGGGAGGAGGTGAGGAATTCCTGTCAGATGAAGCAGACAGGGTGAAAAGCATTGTTTTATCATCTTATTTAAACACGTTTGTTTAAAATGCACCAAACTGTATACCTACAGCATGTGCAGAGGAGATGAAAGATTTAATGGAATGGAGTGGTGCATCAGATAGTGCTGAAAAACAGGGGTCCTGTACATCATGCAGGTGAGCTTCCTCAGGAGGATGCCAGTATGTGGTATTAAGGAGAGGCAGCATCTCCCAGCGTTTTATTTTATGAGTTTTTCTTTATTGACCTTTTTGTGTGTACTAATAGGATTGTGGCTGTACCACTGGATGTGCTGTGGTCCTGCTGTCCTAAAGTCAGTGTGCTAAGTGGAAGCCTTGGTAATCTCAAACATCTGCTGATGGATGAGCCGAACATTAAACTGAGCCAGGATAGCTCTGCTGTGCTAATAAATCACTGGGAACAAGGTATTGTTTGATTCATTTTCTTTGTGCTTCACTAAACGTTTGAAGTGGTTTTTAGATTGTGTTAATCTTTCTGTGAATATGAATATTTTCTTCATTCGTTGATGTAAGTTTGACTCTAATCATCTCGTGCTGCATAATAATGAATGTAAAAGAGTCTGGCTTAAGTCCAAAATTAAAATCTGATGTTTTTCATCATTGACCTGTCTCATATGCACTGGTGCATATCAGACAATTAGCAAGGCTAATGGAGGCTCAAGTTGATGTGGCACAAATAGAGCCTCAGGTCTTGTGCTGACAAACAACCCTCTGTAAATGAATCTGCTGTCTCAAGCAAATGCGTGTTATGTACCGTACTGTGTGAAAATCCAGAGCCACACCTTATTTCTTTATATTTTACTTCCAAGGAGCCAGACTTTCTTTTACATTTTTAAAGTGGTCTTGAGGAATAGTTCTCCAAGCTTTCTGACGGTCTTTCAAAGTTATTCTTCGGACATTGGCTCCTTTCCCCCCCACTCATTCAAGTTCTGAACTGTGAATCATTCAAGCATCAAAAAGGCACCTAACTCAAGGGATGAACCAGTGTTGTCTAATAAAAAGGCACAACAAGACAGCTTGATAAAGAAACTTAAGTTAATAAATTTAATTACAAAAATTGTTATTAATTTGTATCTCTAGGTACTTTATTATTAGCAGTCAGTCACAAAAACATGCCCTCCTCTCATTTTCTGTAGTTAAATCTATGAAAAATGCCAAAGATAACACAAGTTGAAGAATAAAGGTGCCAAATATTGATTTTAAAGCTCAGTAGAAGTCCACAAACTGTATTTACCGTATTTCCATGTATGTTTCTACAGATTTCCCATCTTCCTAGCATAATATAGAGAAAGGAGGGTGGCTCAAAACTTTTGCACTTACTCGATTAAGTCAGAACACACATGTCAAGCCTCGATGAAATAATCCTATGGATGGCCAGAAACTGTTCTCCACCCCTTTGCATAACTCATACTGACTAAAACTTCAATAGTGTCAGCAGTGACAGTATTAAGTGTATTTGTGTGGAAGGGTATTGCAGCCTTCCACACAAATGCAGTACTAAGAGGTTGTGCAGCAGAGATCATCAACTTGTATTCACTGCTCACAAGAATCATTTTAGCCACATTGACCACAGAGTGCTTTGCTCACTTCCCTTTCACAGCTCACATGCATCGTCAGCTAACCATGCAGCTTGTCATTGCAGTTCTTGTGTTCGTTGCATGAATGTTTCTGTGTTTGTGACTGTGACGCTTCATTGGGATTCTCAGACCAGGAAGAAAAGGAAGATGACTGCAATTTGGATGACAGTGGGTATCCAGAGGCCAGTCTGCACAGCCACAGTGCTGAGCAAGAGGAAGACTGGGAGGAAAATGATTGATGTGGAGGATGTTTTCCAGGTATATGTCAGTGCGATTACTGAGTTCATAATAAATATGAGAAAAACTTCAGATTGTCATTACTGCACCGTCTACACACATCAAAAGGACAAAAGCACAGGCTAGTGAACATTAAATCATTTTATTCTACTGTAGACATTTTAAGCATCCAGTACACTTGTTAAAGAAGCAAATGTTGGTCAAAAGAACAAGTCTTTAACAGGGAACACACTGGACAGTGTCGGAACATCACTATACAGAAGAATACACCTTAGTTTTGTAGACAACAGCTTCACAGAAGAGAAGAAGCAACCATGTTTGTAACAACATGTTAGGTACCGAGATGAACATACCTGTTTTACACAGGTAAAACAAGGGATTTTTACTTTACAAAACAAAACAACCGGTCACCATAAATCATACACATAACAGTCATATGTAGTGAAAGACTTTTAGAAACAAAAATCTTAACAAAAATATGGCACAATATCAGCAATGAAAGATTCAAAAACAGCTGCGTTCATTACATGTGATCAACATCAAACCAAAATAACACTGATTTACATTTATATCATATACACTGATGCTTATGCAGACATCTCTTCTTCAAACAAATGAAATTAAGTCCTACGTAGTAAATGGCAAGCAACATCCCTCCTTCAGCGTGGAAATGGATTAGAAGATGGTACAGCTCAAGTGAGGAGAAAACATTACAATGTGTCAGGCTCTGCAAAGCTTGTCACAGCTAAAAACGACAGCATAGTCATGCAGAGCACGGGAACGTAAAGACAGAACACTGACGTATAGTTAAAACACCATACACTGATGACACTTTGTGCAGATATTGATACAAGATGTATAAGAGTTAATCTAGAAGAGGCACTGATCCTACTTCTACTATGGCTTACGACAGGAGACAAGATTAGATGCTGTACAGTCTGTTGTGTCTAATGCTCTCAATGTGCATAGACCTACAGGCTCCCAGGTAATAACGGTTGTGTACTTTGGCTAACTTGTTCAACTAAACTGTGCACTCACTCTCCTAAGAGGCTAGAGATGGAAAGTCTACATGCATGGCACTAAGGATTTTAAAACTCTGGTGCATCTGAGTGCTCAAGCCTGTCTCCTGATATGAAGCTAGCAGATATACACGTTACACCCAATTACTGTAATACTCTGGGTCTTTTCTTTGAAGTACAGGTGCTATTGAGGATTTCCTTCATGGCAGTGAATTACTTAACTAATCCTTTTCTGTCCTATATTTTAAAACTAAAGAAAAAAACCATAGTGTACAACAGCTGCACCAGTCAAACAGTTAATGTGTCAGAGGATCTTTCTTGTGCAAGCATCCTGATCCACCAGACAGTTCATAGTGATATAGCTACAAATAGATATACATCTGCAACAGTGAATATTTTAATATATATATATATACCCTTCCATGTCAGTATTCATCAGAGGCCACTGTTATTTTTTGCATTCACTGCCATGTAAATGCAAAGAGCAGTAACAAGATAAAAGAGGGCAGTCTGGGACTACATACTTCTGCCACACTGTTATGATTAATTCACCTGGATCCAGAAAAACATAAGTTTGATATTTTTTTTGACGATATTGAAGATATGACTCATTTTATTTTTGTGTGGAGACACTTAACAAAAACAACTCTGTGAAATTTAGTTTGCGACTGTTGCTTGTAGAACTATTTAGTCTTATTTTGTTATACAGAGGAAGAAACTAGAGAATGAGGTTGCCAATTAGGGAAATGATCCGATTTTAATTTAGTTTCAGCTTCACTTCAGGGGTTTTCTTGATGCTCTTTTGCTTCAGCTTCTATTGAGCTGCAGTATTGATGATGCTGTGATTTTTGGTTTAGTTTCCATCTCCTAATTGTAACATGGTTAAAGCTGTTAAAAAGCACATTCTTAATTTTCTACAGTGTTTATATAGCAAAACAAATATTAAATAGCCAAGTCACCACTGACTAAATATTTTTGACAGCTCTGCATTTAGACAACGGGGGCCTCTGTGATTACATTTGGGGAAATTGTCCTCTTTTCTCTGTGTGGGTACCAATGTGGCATTCCTCACAAGAGATTATGTGTCCCTTCACTGAGATAACAGCGTTACTGTTGCTGCTAATAAAAGTGGCCGGTGTACCAGCACAACAAAGGAATAACCACATACACTCACACACATTCACACATCAAATAGCTCAATTTTTCATAGCAAAATATTCTCACCGGAGTGCCAACGACTACTTTTTGAGCAGCTTATCAGCAGAGATTAAATCCTATTTGATAAAGGAAGTCCAAAACAAACACCAAAGGAATGTCCTGATAGGATGTGATGTGTTTTCAGTCCGTTCTGATCTTCCCATCCTTGTGCCGTCTGGAGAGGAAAGGTAGATTTTTCACTTCATAAAAGTTTCAGTTGGTTTTACTTTGGATGTTTGGAGTTTGGATAGCAGGGAGCCAGAATTTAGATGCACAAGTGTTTTAGAACAATTGGTCACTGTGTTTCCTCCTTTCATTGATTCTTTAAGATAAAACCCGTCCACTTCTTTCTCCTAATGATATCTTAACCGATATAAACACAGGAAGGGCACTGGTGTAATGTCGACGGATCACTGAGTGATCAGCTTAGACACATGCTGATCGAGTAGGAATGAAGGTTGAAATGGAAACGGTCTCATTTCCAGTTGTTTCAGGTGTAATCAGAGATGCTGCACGTCTAACGCTTAATCACCACCTGCTCGTACGCTCCACCACCAACCCTAAGAGGACATGAGGAGGCAGAATTGGCAATCACACACTTGTTTAAATCTTCATTAGTTATCACAAAAGGTACCAAACTGAAATCGTGTTATATAAAACCAAGATGGGGTGGGAGGTACAAAATGTCATCTGAGCTCCAAGGCTGGTCTGGTAAACAGATGTTAGAAGTTTTGTTACATTGAGTTTGATTGAAAACAAAACAGTCCCCCTCTATCTCTCAGGTAGTGCTTCATTGCAAAGTCTTTGGTCATCAGAACTTTCCTTTGCTCTGCACCAAACCTGTAAACTTTAGGAAGAACCACTATCAGCTTTTTGTCTGCATTAATATTGAGACAACTGTGCTGCTGTGAAGTCACTACACTGCATTCCAAATTATTATGCAAATGATATTTGTCGCTTTCCTTTATAGTCGATTCAATGACAGTCAGTGTACTTTTCAAGTCAACCGTCAGAGCACAATTCAGATTTTATTGAACAAACCTCCCAATGACAGCTGTGGTTTTGCAAATTTAAAACAAACAAACAAACAAACAAACAAAACCCTCAAAATGCACTGATCCAAATTATTATGCACAACAGTTTCAAAACATTTTATTGGTTATAAACAACTGAAAATTGATAAATTTGCAGCATAAGGTCATATTTACTGAAACCATAACAGGCCAAACATGTTAACTCAGGAACCCTTCTTTGATATAAGTTTCACATTCTTGCATCCATTGAACTTCCAGGTTTTTGGAGAGTTTCTGCCTGTATTTCTTTGTAAGATGTCAGAATAACCTCCCACAGCTGCTGTTTTGATGTGAACTGCCTCGTCACCCTCAGATCTTTTGCCTGAGGATGTTCCAAAGGTTCTCCACAGGGTTGATGTCAGGGGAGGATGCGGGCCACACACCATGTGTTTCTCTTCTTTTATTCCCATAGCTGCCAATGCCAGAGAGTGGGACTGCACCCCTCAGTAAGACTGCTTGAAAATTACTCTTGATGTATTTCTGGGCCTACTGTAACCATTCCTGCTTGTGAGTATTGGTTAGGTGGTGGCCAAAATGGTAGGTTTATGCATAACTGCAAGCCTCTGGAGGTTTTCGGTACTACCAGCAGCTTCAATTACCTGCTTGCTGCTTTGTAATGGCATTTTAGCAGCTGTTCTGTGAATCTGATGAATTTGTCTGGCAGAAACCTTCATCTCTATGCCTTAGTCTGCACAAACCCATCTGTGCTCTGACTCAGCCACAAGTTTCTTCACAGTACAATGGTTACGCTTAAGTTTTCATATTACATCTAATGTTCTCAGACCTTGTGTAAGGTATTGCACCAACACATTTCTGCAGCAGAGATCCTTTTACTTTCCCATATTGCTTGAAACCTGTGGCATGCTCAATGATGTGGAACATCTTAAGTAGTTTTCATTTTATTGGGCTCACCTGGCAAACTAATTATGACAGCTGTCTGAGATTGATATCAGTGATCCAAAGAGCCCAGAGACACAATACCATCCATGAGTTTAACTGAAAACAAAAGATTGAATGTTTACGACACTAAAATCTTATTTGCATAATAATTTGGAACGCGTTTGTACACTCGTCTCTCTGGAATCATACCCTCAGAAATCCCTACACTAGTTTGCTTGCTTTCTTCAGGTAATTGTGATGCTCACCTGGTGGGAAGGTGATGACTTCCAAGCGCTGTACTTCCCCCGGGTCCAACAAACAGCCGCAGGCCTTCCTCTGAAACGGTGTTCATAACATTTGGTCAGTACACGGAGAACCCACATCCTCCTGTATAATTCTTGTCATGACGAGCAGCCAGTTGCTAGGCAACCTAAAAATAATCATCTATTGACAGCAGCTTTCCATTTGTAGCTTTGAGCTGGATGAGACCTTGGAAGGGAAAACAATGCCTCACTCCTTAAAGTACACACACACACACTGACTCATGGGAAATGAATATGCAAATGTGCCGTGCATTAAACACATGCAGTAGTAACCTAGAATTGGGATGAATCCCATTGTTTTGTTTTGTATTGATTCATCTATTTTAGTTATTCATTAAGCTGAAATCTCTGTAGATCCATCAGATACTACTTGCTTCTGCCTGTGAAGATTTTCTTCATTTATATATTTCACAGAGATGCAAGTTTTGAAACTGACAATTTATTCTTTATCTAAGAGACCAGTTTAAAAGGAAAGGTCCCATAGCTCGTGTTTATGTCATTTTAGTGTAAGGATAAGAAAAGAAAAACAACAACTGCAAACAAAAAACAAAAAAGTGGACATGTCATACCCTCAGCACTTG